TGGGTGCTGAAGGAGCCTGTTTGGAGAAGATTGGTGCGTGAGAGAGGTAGTCCTTTGCAAGTTGAGAATTCTTGTTCATGGCATGGCTCTCTGCTTATATCATCTTCTGCTGTGAATATCTGGGAAGTGACCGGATGAATTCTGCGATTAATCAACCGATGTGTGTGCTCTTTCTTCTGAGGGAATCCAATGTACACTTTTCCCTCCCTTCCCTCAATGTACACTTCCCAAGGTTCCGTAGCCAGCCGCCACAGTGTAGCAAACCAAAGGCCATAACTCACCGCTCACGGCGCGCATTATGTTTACGTTCATTTTATATTACATGCCTTGCAAGTCGCAATGTTCCTCCAAAAATACACAAAAGAGTTGTGAAGTCATTCGGAAAAGAGATGTCGTGAAGAAAATCTCGGTTGTGCGGTAGTCAACGTCGTGACGAGGTGATGCAGAAGGACATAGCCGAGTTTCTGAAATGTGCGCAGAGTACATCGATAGAAAAACATCCATGGCCTGCATTGGCATCGATCTTTCGATGTGATGAAAACATACCAGGAAGTAAGAGACTTCCTGGCTGCAAGGGGGATCATGAAGAAACAAGGACCTGCACGCGAACAGAAAGGTAGTGGTCGGAATCTAAATAGAAACACTGGTGGCTACACTGTCAAACACTCTCCTTTATATAGTTTACTTCTATACAGGCAGGTACAAGGCGGATGGAGTCACAGCTTTCAACACCCTTTTCCTCTCCCACAGGACACAAACACAACACCTCCCACCCTCTCTTTTTCTCCTTCAGACATCACACAACACCTTCCTGTGGCAGTCAGAATCATCTCATTCACACGCTGGACAGGTTGTGTCGGTTCTCATCCAGAACGAGGACTCTGAGTCCTCTGCAGTTCTCTTCTTCCTCAGGAACTCCTCGTAGCCTAGCCCGAAAGAAATGTGCCAGCTGCTTTAAAGAAAAGGGAGCTGTCGACAGTAGCCATGAATAGATCAGACAATCACTCCGGTCGATCACTATGGGCAGCGTAGTAGCACAAACTGCTCATGGAGCTAGAAAGAAAGAGTGAGCCCAAGGAAACGCATACAAGCACACTTGCACGTGCATACATACACACAGAGGCAGGAGAGAGAGAGAGAGAGAGAGAGAGAGAGAGAGAGAGAGAGAGAGAGAGAGA